AAACAGATGTGTGGTCATCTAGCCTTTGTTGTTCCATTTCTAGGGCAGAGTAGATTAGCATAATTCTTGAGGGCCCTAGGATTTCCAGAATGGTAAATGAGCACTGGCTTCAATTTAAAGTCACTAGTTACATTAGACTCTAACGAGAGAGTCAGCCCATCCTTTGAAGCTTTGAAGCCAGGCGTTGACTGCTCTAGCTAGGAAAAGTCCTAGATGGCATCTTCTTCCAATAAAAGGCTGTTTTGTTTGCATTGCAACCTGCTGTTGAGTGCAGCCACCTTCATACGTGGTCTCAGCTGGATCTTCTGGATAACTCGCTGCAGCTTCTGCTTCAGCACTTGCTGCTTCACCTTGCACTTTTCTCTTACGGAGATGGCTTCTTTCCTCAAACCTCACGAACCAACCTCATGCTTTTCTTCTGCAGCTTCCTCACCCCGCTCAGCTTTCATAGAATTGAAGAGAATTGGGCCTTGCTCCAGAAGGGAGTGTTGTGGTGGATTTGATCTTCTATCCAGAGCACACGAACTCTTTCCATATCAGCAATATGGCTGTTTCGCTTTCTTATCACTCGTGTTCCCTGGAGTAGCACTTTTAATTTCCTTGAGAACTTTCCTTTGCAGTCACAACTTGGCTACCTGTTGGAGCAAGAGGCCTACCTTTTGGCCTGTCTCGGCTTTCAACATGCCTTCCTCACTAAGCTTAATCATTTTTAACTTTTAGTTTAAAGTGAGAGACATGTGACTCTTCCTTTCACTTAAACACTCAGAGGCCATTGTAGGGTTATTAGCTGGCCTAATTTCAATATTGTGGTATCTCAGGGAACAGGGAGGCCCAAGGGGAGGGAGAGAGTTAAGGGAACAGCTGATCAGTGGAGCAGTCGGAATATACATATTTATTAATATTAAGTTTGCTATCTTATGTGGGTGTGGTTCATGGCACCTCAAAACAGTTACAATAGTAACATCAAGGTCCCAGATCACCATAAGAGATATAAGACCTTCTAGAAAACTGTAATAATCAAGGCAGAGTGATGATGCATGGATGGACAAATAGACCCATGGAATGGAACAGAACATGCAGAAACAGAACCTGGCTCCTGCGGGAGCCTGGTATGGGTCAGATGGCACCACAGGTGAGTGGTGAAAGATAGATTCTTCATTAAATGGTACTGGGATGATCGGTTATTGACATGGAGGAAAAATACAGTTGATTTTCTATCTCATAGCATACACAGCTGAATTAAAGACCTAACTTGAAAGCAAAACTTTAACATTTTTAGAAACAAATATAGGAGAATATTTACATGGTCTCAAGGAGGGAAAGATTTCTTAAGATACAAAATAAATTATGAAGAAAAGTTTTGGTAAATTTGATTCCATTAAAATTTTAAATTCAAAGACCATTAAAAAGGTGAAAGGTCAGGGTGAGAGAAGGTATTTGTTACACATGTAGCAGGTAAAGGATTAGGATTCAAAATCTGTAAAAGTGGCTTCCAACTCAATAAGAAAAAGACAAAACAATCCAGCAGAAAATTTGGCAAAGATTAGAAACAGGTAATTCACAATTTAAACGTATAAAAAGATGGCAATCTCATTAATAGAGAAATGAAAATTAAAATAAAAAATAAGATACTATTTCATATTGATCAGACTGACAGTGGAAGTATTAGAAATTAACTCTTAAAAATTAAGAAGTCTGACAGTGGAAGTATTGGCCGGCCAGGATGTAGAACAATAGGAACATTGATAATATTAAAGTAAATTGGTTCAATCACTTCAGAAAACAATTCTTCAAAATCTAGTGAAGTTGAAGATGCTCATATCCTACAGCCCAGTAATTTCCGCTCCCAGGTATATAACTGAGAGAGGCTTTGCCCATGTGTACAATAAAACGAAGTTGCTGAGATCTCTTAAAAATGTAAATCAGTTCAGATCACTCCTTTGCTCAAAATCCTCCAAGGCTGAGATTAAAGTCCTTGGAGGACTTCTATGGTCCGCCTCTCCAGCCGCATCTCCCGCCCTGCCTCCCTCTTTCTGTTCCAGCCATGCTAACTTTGCTGTTCCTCGAGCAGCCTCCTTTTCACCCTCATCAGGGCTCTTGGATTCGCCTTTCCCCAACTTCCTGGCAGCATTCTCCTAGTTTGAATTTTGGCTTCATTTCTGGCTTCAGCGAGACCTCTGTTGACCACCTTTTCTGAAATAGCTTCCAGGACTGCTTCTCCCCGACCTGACCAGTCCCTCTGTCTCCTTTGGCCAATTTATTTTCCTTCCTACCTGACGTTACATTCCGTATGTATCTGTTTGAGCGCTTATTTCCTTCTCCTCAATTGTAAGCTTCCCGGGGGCTGGGCATTTTCCGGTGTCTGAAACGGCACTTTCTTGGCACATGGTCTGCTCAATCGAAGCTGTTCCAGTGAGTGAGTGAATGGATTTGCGTGACAGTCAGCTTGGTAACAAAACACTCAGATGACTCAAAAAGTACCTCTTGATAAAAGCAAAGCCACTGGAGTTGCAGATGCTTGAGGAGAATTTGATTGGTTCATAAGGTGTAAAAGTGAAAAGAAGAGCAGAATATTCTTCAGAAACAGATGACTTAACTGATTTTAAGTGTGTGTAATTAATAGATTAAATAGAAGTAGATATTTGAGTATTTCATCTATGCTCCTTATATAGTTTGTATGCTCGGGTTGGCCAGAAAACTCTGGGGATCTTCTCTTGGGAAACCTCGTATTGAGGCTTCCTGACACATTGAGTTGCTGTACTCTGGGGCCCATGCAGTAATTCTGTCTGTCATTCAGTCATTTCCAGGCACCTGGGGTCAAACCTATCCCTGGGCTCAGGGCCGCCGGGTAGGGAGGACACAGAAGGGGAAGGGATTCAGGCACACTGAGCGTCTGCTGGGTGCCGGCAACTCTGCCTGGGTTTCTCTCTGATGCGGGAGACTTAGGAGCACCCCTCTACACACCTGACTGGGTGGCCCAGGCAGGGAGAGGGCCAGGACTACAGGGCTCTGCAGCTTGGTCTGACCCCTCCAACCCTTGCTACCGCTGCAGATCTCGGAGATCATCTTTGTGTCCATCTACAGCTCTGAGTTTTCCATGAAAGTCTATGTGGACCCCCTTGACTACTGGAAGGATGGCTACAACCTGCTGGACGTGGTCATCATTATCATCATCTTCATCCCCTATGCCCTCCACGAGATCAAGGGGAAACACTACCCCCACCTGCACATTGCTGACGGCATGCAGTCCCTGCGCATCCTCAAGCTCATCCCCTATAGTCGGGGCATCCGGGTGAGTGCCCTGGGGGTGCCATGGCGTTGGGAGGGCAGGCTGGTAGGGCTCATCTGCCCACCAGCCCCTGGGGAAATAATGACTCTACTACTATCTTCCAGTTATTGAGTCCTACTATGTGGCAGGTTGATTTACCAATATTATTTCATTTAATCTGAAAATAATGGTAAGAAAAGTATTATTAGCTCCATTTTACAGATGCAGAAATTGAGGCCCAAGGTCACCCAGCATTTAAATGTGAGAGCTGAGATTTGAAAGGTGTGTCTGACTCCAGAGGCCATCTGAACTTTTCCTCTCTCCTATGCTGGAAAGTGATGGAGTTTCTTTAGCTACAGATCCTTTGACCTACACCCAGGAGTCTCCAGCTTTTTGGGGGCCTTGGCCACTAGTTGCTTTCCCAAACAGCTGGATATCTGCTGCTTCTCTTGATGGGAATAGTCTCATTATTTTGTTAAGGCAGCTCTGGAAGTGCTGTTTGTGCTGAGAAGTCTCTCTGGGTTGCTGAAAGTCATGGAGTGACCAGCCTTTTGTAGACTCAGGTTTCAGAACAAACCTCAGGGCTGACCCCTTGCACTCAACCATGCCCTCAGGCATCTGACCTATGTGCAGTGTGTTTGCCCTGGCTCTGCACCCAGTATCCTTGCTTCTCCAGGAAGGGGCTGGTCTGGACCTATTTGTGTTAGCACATGTCAGCCTATCCTGCTGAGAGACCGCCCCCAGCCCAGGGCTGTGTGGCTGCTGCCTAGGGCCTGGGCCCCACACTCAGGGCTCCCCAGGCTGGCTGGAGAAGAGAAAGAGAATGTTGGAGAGGCCCCCTGCCACGCACCCACAGGCATTCATTTCTTGCTCTCATGCAATCGCATACCTGTGTGTGTGTCCCCTCCCAAACAGTACAGTCCCGCCCTCCCTCTCCTTTTCTCCACGGCCAGGCTTCGGGAAAAAGGTGTCTGTACTGCCAGTCCGCCCTTCCTCGTCCGTCACTTATGCCCTGGCTTCTTTCCCTCCACTCCAGAGTCATTAGACTCTCAGAGGTTGCCAACAACCTCCTTGTCACCAAATCCAGTGGCCATTTCCCTTGGCATCCTTGTCACTGCCTTCTCTTGGCGTTCCTCCAGCCTGACTTCTTGGGTGCATTTTTTTCTTTGCCTGGCCCATAAGTGTTGTTTTCTCAGGACCATTCCTGAGTTCTCCGTCTCTTCTCCCTCTGGTTGTTCTCTCGAGGTGATCTCTTCCGCTTGCCAGGTTCTTCGCTTGCCCACACCTCTCTCCTTGACCTTCAGACCCAGCTGCCCCCTCATGTCTCACAGGCTCCTCAAGCTCAGTGTGTAAACTGGAAGCCATCACTTGCCCCCTCCCCACCCCAACCTCAAATCCAAAATCCTGGCGCCTCTTCCAGTACTTTGTCTCTTGGTGAGGAGTGTTCCCCAGCCCATTCAGTTGCCGAGTCATAAATCCGAGTGTCAGCTTTGACTCCTCTCTCAGAGTCTTGTTGCGTAGCCTCCTAAACAGCTGCTGACTTGTCCACATCTTTTCATCACTGTCACCTTCAGTCTTTACCTGGATTCCTGCAATGGCTTCCCACAGAGCTGAAAGCCCCGAGCAGAAGTGGCCCAGAAGCTAGCGGGCATCTCTAAAGTGCGCATCAAATCATGACACTCTCTGTTTCGGACCTGCGAGTGGCTGCCCTGTTCACAGGCTAGAGACAGATCCCGTAATGCAGCGGTCCCCAGCCTTTCTGGCACCAGGAACCAGTTTCGTGGAAGTCAATTTTTCCGGGGGTTGGCGGGGTGGTTTCAGGATGAGTCAAGCGCATTACATTTATCGTGCAGTCAAACCTCTCTGCTAATGATAATCTGTATTTGCAGCCGCTCCCCAGCGCTGGCATCACCGCCTTGGCTCGACCTCAGGTCATCAGGCACTAGGTTCTCATGAGGTGCGCAGCCCAGATCCCGCGCATGCGCAGTTTACAGCAGGGTTCCTGCTCCCATGAGAATCTCATGCCGCTGCTGATCTGACAGGAGGCGGAGCTTGTGTGTGATGTGAGCAATGAGGACAGCTGTGAAAACAGATGAAGCTTTGCTCACCCGGCCTCTGCTCACCTCCTGCTGTGCAGCCCCATTCCTAACAGGACACAGACTGGTACCAGCCCACAGCCCAGGGCTGGGGACCACAGCTGAAATGTATCCCAGAAGGAGGAGAGGGGAGTGCTGACGTGCTGCGCGTGGGCGTCAGTAGGGACGAGAGTAAGGCAGGTGGACAGGAAAGAAGACTGCAGGTGCCTGGGTGTTCAGTGCCAGGTGGTGGGCACCTCAGAGCAAGGGAGTAATGGGACCGTGGGAAGCACAGCCCAGTTTCTCCAGGTGTCGGCCACCAAGGGAACAGGGGCCAGGAGTGCTACCAGGGTCACCAGATGGAAAGGCCTGGAAGATGGCGGGTCATTCGTAAAGATGCCAGAGGTCCCCAGGATGATAGCAGGATGGGGTGGAAAGTAGTAGGCAGTGATCCTGGAGGCAGAGACATGGAGGTGTGGGGAGCAGTGGGAGGCTGGGAGGTTGGCCCTGCCCAGAAGCAGAGGCTCTGCCCGTGGAGGCGGGGGCTCCGAGGATAGCGCAGCGGTGGCCCCTGGAGCTGAGGGCCGCGGGGAATAGGCAGCCTCTGTGGAGAGGGTGCTGGGGAGTGATGTCCTCAGGTAAGAGAAGACTTTCAAGTGAGGCCAGGAGAGAGGTCACTGGAATGAGGGTGCCTGAGGCCTGTGGCAGTCATGTGAGGAGGGGTGGTGGGCAGTGGACTGAGGGAGAAGAAGCCCAGGGCTGTGCAGGGAGGAGAGAAGCAGAAAAGACTGGGGGCAGGAGGAGCTCCTGTCTGGGAAGGAAGGGCATTGACCCGGATGGCACCTGGAGAGGCTGAGGGAGCCAGCTGCCTGTCGAGTGCACCTGTCTTGGCTGCATGATGGCAGCCTGGTTGGAAGACAAAGGCCTGGAGGTGCTGCGGCTGAGGGCCTGGCAGGGGCAGCCCATCCTTCCAGCCCAGGGAACCTTCCTGCTGGCCTGCTCTATCCCAGAGCAAGCCAGGCCTGCTTGGTGACTGCAGGCCCCGCTCGTCCTTTGGTCCTTGTAGACGTGCCCAGACCTGTGGATATGCAGACATAGCATGTACCCAAACATGTACCCCATGTTTGGCCTCAGGGTTTTTCTGTCATTAAGCAGAGCCTTGTGTCCACAGTGGTTCCCTGGGGATCACCAGCCACCCTGGCTGTGGCTCTCCTGTAGCCTTTGGGATGTCATGGGACCCTGGATCCCACGCTCTCTGTATGCCGTCCAGGGGGAACGGTAGCTGCTGAAGGTGGGGCCTTGCACCTCTGTGCTAGTTTCCATTAGTTGAAGTCTACAGGTGCCCTTAAAGGGCTTACCTCTCAATGCCCAGAGCTGACACTCTGGGACAGTCCTGGCTCCCGACTCCTGATTAATTAAAATGACACCCAGCCTTCTACCTCATGGTGATAAGCCTGCACCATGAGGAAACAGTTCCTTGCTGTTTTGCACAGAGAGAGGTTCTGTTAGCTGGGCACCGCTGCTCTTCCTGTTCACCCGCATTGCAGCCTTAAAACAACCTTCAGATGCCGGGCTGTGGTGTGAGTCCTAGTCTCCCCTGCCTCCCTGCCTCCCTGCCTCCTCCTGGGGCTGGATTGTTTCCTGCACATCCAAGGGACTGTGCAGGAGGGCTCCCTCAGAGCACCTGCCCTGCCTGGAGTCCTTTCCGCACCCAGAATGCCCCAGGGCCTAGAGGACAGCTGTGGCTCGACCCAGACCCCAGGAGAGCTGAACTGGGCACTGGGAATTGCTTCCTTAAAGAATCTGGGAATTCAAAGTCAGGCATCCACTGGGGGCCAGGCTGTAGGCCTCAAAAGCCCAGGACTTCCATAAAGAAGGAGCTATTGGTCTAAGGGGATCTGGACAACCATCCCCTGGGATGGTTTTTGCACCTTTCTGGACTACACACTAACAAGGCCTGCTTGGATTGTGCTTTAAGAACTTGGCCAAGACTAGCTGTCGGGGGTTCTGCGTGGGGCTTCCCAGAGAGCATGACCTTTTCTGCGCTGCCACTCTCAGGGTTGTTGGGCTGGCTTGGAGGTGGAAGACCCAGCAGGCCTATCGCCCCAACCCTTCTGCATGTGTCTCAAGTTCTGCTGTGTGGCACTCCCCACTTCCGGCTATGCAAACCCGATGGGCAGATGGGATACTATCGTAGCATTTCTCATGAGGACTTACTGCTTTAGTCTTACTAGTTTTGGGGAAAGAAGTTTACCTCTGTGTAGCAGGGAGGAAGGCAAATTTTTTTTTACATCTCAGCTGTTTTGCAATGAATCCAATAAAACTGATTTTCTTCCCCCAAGGACAGGAGGGAGGCGTCAGGCGTGCGTTCACCCTTGCAGGCAGCTGCCAGACTAGTGCACGTGCAGGGCAGCCTCTCTGCTTCTTCACTTACCCCAAACTGTCCGAACTTCACTGTCCTGTGTCTTAGCTCTAAGTTCCTCCTTTCCTAGTGCTAAGTGGTGTCATGGGGCAAAGGGCTTGGGAGTTGGTCCCAGCTCTGCCATTGTATTGAAGTATGATCCTGGCCAAGACATTTGCTTCTCCGAGCCTCTGACTCCTCATTGTGAAACGGGAAAAATGAAAACACCTACCCACCTTGAAATGATGTCTGTGAAACATCTAGGTAGGTGAACATGCATGGAGTACCGACTACATGCCAACCTCCAGGGCACGGATAATGAACGAAGAGGAGCCCTATGCTGTACTCCCCAGGAACGGGCAGTGTAAACAAATGGGCAAAAATAAACAAATGCCTAGTTCGTGGGGGGAAGACTGAGGGCTCAAGACAGAGACCAGCTTTCTCCGGAAGGAATGGAGAGCCACATTCCCCTCATTCTCACTCCATTCTCACTCCCAGGGTAGCTCCCTCAGTCCTCCTGGACCTGGGGCAAAGAGCGTTCAAGGCTGGCCCTCAGCTGTGAAGCAGGAGCACAACACTGTAGGGTGAGAATGGAGCCAGGGTGGGGTTCAAGGGGAGTGCTTGATGCTGATGGGGAGGCTACCCTAGACCTGAGGCAGCACACACAATAGGTGCCCATAGGTGGCTGAAGGTAGATGCCAGGCATTGGTAAACCACTGTTAGATTGATCCAGCACGCGATCTTGGCACAGTTGATTCATTTCATTCACTCATTCATCCATCCATCCATTCAACCAGCCAACACTTATTGAGCATCTGCCATGTGCCAGGCATGGCACCACTGCTGGGGCTAGCTATGACCTGGGCAGAACCGACCTCTGTCCTCTGAGACCACCCAGCCCGGTGCCCTTGCCTACTGTAGTTGTCCTTCCTTGCAGAGGCTCATCACTGCCGTGGGGCAGACAGTCTACACTGTGGCCTCTGTGCTCCTCCTGCTCTTCATCCTGATGTACATCTTTGCCGTCTTGGGCTTCTGCCTGTTTGGAGTTCCAGAGGGGGGTGACCACGATAACTGGGGGAATCTGGCTGCAGCTTTCTTCACCCTCTTCAGTTTGGCCACGGTACTGTGTTTGGAGCAGTGGTGAGAGGGACTGCCCGGGTGGAATGAGCATAAGGACACGCTGGGGCTGCCATGGGGCCCTGCCCATGTTCGGGTACTTGGCTGGCCTGGGGAGGCTGGGGCTGGCCCCACTTAGAGGCCAGTGCCCTGGACAGGGATCTGTCTCTGTCTCTAATCTGGTGACTCCTTAGAGCATTCCCATATGTCTCACAGGGTCATAAAACTTCTCAAAGAGTTCTCAAATGATAATACATTTAGATTAAGTTTAATTTATAAATGAAACCCATGTCACGTAGCCTTTTGGGGAACAGACTATCACAAATCCACCCAGAATAAGCACACAAAGCCCAAGTCTAGAAGTCTAGATTCTACTGGACTCTGGAAAGAATGGGGTCTTTTCCAAGGTTGGCCTGGCAGAGAGGCGGTATCTTTTGGGGGAGGTTGGGAGGCCTCGAGAGAAGAGAGCCCAAGACCTACCAGCCAGCAGGGTGTCCACCCAGTGGTGCGTCCACTCAGTGGCGCCTGGCCTTCCTGGGCCTCCTTGCATGGGCTGGAGCCAGTGGCTTGGGGAGGTTTTGAAGGGCTGATGTGGAGGCAGAGCCATCCTCCTCCTCAGCGGGGATGGGGCAGGAAGAGCCCTTTGGACTGGGACTCCCATAGCACAGGTGAGAAGGAGGCCCACCCGTCTGGGCCTTGGTCCTCAGCATACCCCCCCTGCCTGGGCAGGTCGATGGCTGGACAGACCTGCAGGAGCAGTTGGACAATCGGGATTTTGCTGTGAGCCGGACGTTCACCATCATCTTCATCTTGCTTGCCTCTTTCATCTTCCTTAGCATGTTCGTGGGCGTGATGATCATACACACTGAGGTGAGGCCGTGCTCGTGAGGATCGGAGGTCAGGGTAGGTGTGGCAGGTGGAGTTATGGGCCAGGTCTTCAGGGAGTCCTCCGAGCGGTGTCTCCCTCCTGACGTGGGGGGAGCTGGTAGAGGGGCCCTTCCTCACCCGGCCCAACTCTCCTCCCTGAGCCGACGCACTTGCCTGGCCTTGCAGTGGGGGCTTGGGACGCCTCTGCAGCCGCACTTGGCAGCTTGAGCGGGGCTGGTCCTGTGTGTGGGAGGCCCCTGCTGCGGGCCTGTGCAGCAGCGCGGTGTCGGAGAGAAAGACTGGGGGTGCGTGTGTATCGCGACCTGCCCCAGCCTCCATCACGCCCACTCTCCAGGACTCCATCAGGAAGTTTGAGCGGGAGCTGATGCTGGAGAGGCACACGGCGCTCATGGAAGAGAAGCAGGTGATGCTGAGGCGGCAGCAGGAGGAGGTCAGCAGGCTGATGCAGACACAGGTGGGTAGTCGCCGCGGCAGGGAGACAGATGGGGCTGACCAAACAGTCAGGAAGGCGGGGTATTGGGGCCTGCGTAGAGGGCAGGTAGCCTCAGGTATCTGTGGCCTTAGGTAGGGCAGGTACCTTCCCCCTGCATTTCCAGAGTCAGGTTTTACTCCCTGCATTTTTGTTTCTCTGAACCTCTTGGAGTGCTGGGTGCCGTGATTACGACGTCTCCCTCTGTGGGCAGAATGTCCCTTTGGGGCCAGGCGGTCTGTGCCGAGGCTTCTTCCTGAGGGCTCGCTGTGCCGGCAGCTGTGGCCCCGGTCCCCCGAGTGGGTGAAGATGCAGAGGCTCTGACAGGTGTCACACAGCCTCAGTTTGCTCGTGTTTCTAAAACCAGCACAAGAAGGAGCACAACAAAGTGGAGGTTTCCTGTCGGGCACGATGCAGTGGTGGGGGCCTGAGTGCCCCGAGCACCCCCTGCTGAGCCTCTCCCGTGTGGGTCGGCTCACCTACCTCACCTCTTCTCTGAGGTGGGGACATCTGACAGTCTTGACTGTGCCCAGGGTTCGCCCACGGGGGAGGCCATGCTGGGCCGCACTGACTCTAGCTGATTCCTTCGTGGGCCACCTGTCCTCGTTCAGTGGTGGCTGCATCCTCCAGGAGGGTCCAGGCTCCGAGGGGGTCAGGATGAACTAGGGACTGGGCTCAAAACTCTTCCTGGGCCAGGGTCGGGCCTTCGCCTGGGCTCATTGCGGAGGGTCTCCAGGTCTCTATGCAGGTTGGCTGTCACCTCCTCCTCCTCATTGCTTTCATTATGCTCTCCTCTCTAGAAAAATGCTGAGTACAAAAGTTTCGATGAGCTGGTGGAGAAGTTTAAGAGAACCCTGCGGCACAGGGACCCCATGGTCTTGAACGATTTTGGCACTAGCATACCCTTCGTCAACGTCTACTTCTCCACTCTGGATAACCAGGATGCCACTATGTGCAAGTCAGTCCCAGCCCCAGCCCGGCCCGTCCCTGGGGCGTCCTCGAGGTTGGCCTGGGTTGGGTGCCCCAGGACAGTGGGGGGGATGGTGGGCTGGGGGATGCAAGATTCCATGTATACACAGGGGCTGGACTGCTGTGTGGACAGGCCTTGGCTGAGGGAATCTGCCCCCCTGCCCCTCCGCAGCCTGCTGTGCCGTATGTTTAAATGCCAGCTCCTTCGACTCTCTGGCCCTCGCTCACTGACCCCTTTTCAGAGGGCAGAGGAGAGAGCACTGGGCAGCACATCAGGAGCTGAGGCTTCTGGCCTGGTTCTGCCACCGCCTTCCTGTGCGACCCTGGGCAAGTCTCTGCCCTTTCCCCATCTGTCTGTCACCTGAGGGGCTGCTGGGCTGATTCAGTGAAACCAGCATATGTGAAGCTCTGAGCTTGACCTGGCCCAGGGCTTGTGCCCAGTGTAAGTCAGCTGGGATTACGATGGGCCATTGTGGAGCAGGGAAGATGTAAAAACCGGGCAGAGGGGCCATGGGCAGTAGGGAGCCACAGTGGACTCTTGAGCAGGGACAGACATGATTATCCTGGCTTCTCAATAAAAGGACACTGGAGGGCTTCAGAGACAGGAGAGACTAAAAAGGAAGCGGTTGAAGAACACCCACTTTGGGGCCCAGAGTGGCAAGGCACCGTCTGGGCCCTCCCACACATTTACTCCCCTCAGAGCCCGGAGGTTTCTCTCCAGGCTGGCTCATGAGGTGAGTCCCTCACTCCAGGGGGCCTCAGGCAGAGCAGAAGGCCCGGGATTCCAACCCATACTTATCTGGCTCTGACTCCTTGCTCCCCCCTGCTCCCACAGCCGCCAGGCGTGGCGAGTGCACAGGTGCAAGTATGTGGTGGGCGGGGCCGGGGTGGCCTTCTGCCTGCCCCTGACCTCAGATCCCCTCTGTCCTGCCGCACTTTTCAGGCTGCAGGAGCTGTACTATGAGATCGCGCACATGCTGGGCCTGATGCTCGAAGACTTGCCCCAGAAGAGGCAGGACCAGTCCTCGGAAGAGCTCTATGAGATGTAGCTGGGCGTGTGGGCGCGCAGGCACCGAGGGCCTCGCAGGCCGTGACAGGCCCCATTAAACACGGGCTTTCGGCGTTGGCCTCTCCAGAGTTGCTGTGACTATGGCGTTGCCGCACGTTTAGGGTTGGGCCTGGGGAGGTGCTCATGAAGTCTGGCTCCCTAGAATGGGTCCGTCCCCCAGGACCCAGCAGACCTAGGGAGTAGGGAGAAGGAGGCTCAAGACTCCCTCTGGCCAGAGGCCACGTCCAGGGGCCACACTGGCTCTAGTCTCCCGGCCACAAGGGCCTGGGGAAGCTGCCTGAGGACTTAAGACCAAGAAACGCCTCCAGTAGCCCCATGAAGTGGGCGGCCCTTTGCACTGGTGTGGCTCTGCCGACCTGGGAGCCTCTGAGGGCTGATCTGCGGGGGTGCTCCGCCTGACAGGGCCGCGTCTCTGCCTGTGGACCCGATGCTGCGGAGACCTCTTTTCGGAAGTCTGCTCTGACTTCCTCTAGGCTCGCCCCAAGGGGCACAGGTGTGACTGGCAGGATTCTATGTGTGGGTGTGGAGCCGGGCGAGGGGCAGCCACTGGCAATATCAGGGCACCTGGCACCAGGGCCCACAGCAGCAGCAGCAGCAGGCACTTTGGGCTGCTCGCCTCGTATGGTTAGTTAGGGCTCTTCACTTAAAAGGGAACATTTCTGTGTCATCTGTGCCAGATGGCCACCAGGGCTGCCAAAGTCCAGGTGCCACGCTGGTCCAGCCATGATGGAAGGCCGTGGTGGGGCTGGGTGGCTGCCTTGCTGCAGACGGACCAGCCCAGAGGCCTGGCAGTGCCCATCGTGGGCCCATTGCTGGAGAGCATGCCTGAGCCTGTCACCTGGGCAGTACCACCTCCTACAGAGAGTCAGGTGGCTTCTGGGACTGGGCACCTACAGATGGGTGCAGAAAGGCCTGAGACCCACAATAGGGAGTCAGGTTAGCAGAAAGTACATGGGGTAGAGTCGACGGTGGCTGACAAAAGAGTTCCGTGGGTGGGCCCGTGGGCTGCAGGCCTGGGTGACGGCACCCCTGAGGCCACAGGACTAGGGCAGGTAGAAGCCTTTCCTTGTGGCCTCATCCATACATCCATCCACTGTTCACTGAGCTATGCTGGGTGCTGGGGGTTCTGTGGTGAGAAACCCACAGTGTAGCCCTGGCCTTCTGGGTGCTCATGGCTGTGGAGGGAAGGCAGAAATCCAGCCAGTTTCACTGAGGAAGTGACAACAATTGTTTGAATGCAGAGAGCACCTTTTTTCTAAGATGCTTAAACCATTTCCACTTACAAATTCAGGGCCAAATTGAGAATCATGAAAACAATAGGGTGAGACCCATTGTCCTGCTGTGGGGACCCTCTGAGGGCATGGAATGCAGCCTGGCCATCTCCTGGGTGGAAAGGTTTGTGCCAGTGTCCCAGGGGTGGCTGAGCTCGGTAGAGTGTCTGTGCCCCTCATGGCAGGGGGAGAAGCTGGGTCTTACGTGTCGGGGGGTGAGTCCAGGCTGCGGGCTTTGGGGGTGCTGTGGCGAGTGCAGCCTAGTGAGCAGGGCAGGCAGGCCCCCAGGCAATGGCTCCGGTTCAGGGCGGGGGCAAAGCAGATACTGCTAACTGCTCACACTGAGTGTGCCAGCATGGCGCAGGGGAACATTAAAGGGAGTGAACAAAAAATTAAAAAATTTGCCTCGGTGGGGCAAGGTAGGATGTGTCATGGTTTTGGAGTCAGGAGACCTGAGTTCCTTAATTAGGTGACCTTGGGCAAGGTGTCCGGTCTTTCAAGCCTCAGCTATTTCCTCTGAGAAATGGGTTGATAAAACTGACCAGCTGCAAGGTTCACATAAACTCTGTGTAAGGGTGTAAGAAAAGAGGTAGTCAACTCACGGTTTGTGTTTCCTGGCTGGCAGCCCTCCAGCTCTGCTGGGGCCACCTGCAGTGGGCTGTGCCGACCAGGGGCTGAGAGAGCCGGCTGACATCAGGGTGGGGGGAGGGAAGTATGGAGCTGACAGCAGCACACAGAGGCCGGGAGCCTGCAGAGGAGGGTGTGACCAGGTCTTCAGAGGGAGCTGGGTCAGAACGGGCAGGTGGAGTGTCAGACCTGGACGGCTGAGGGCCCAGGCCCAGCAAGGCAGCCCTGGGCACAGGCCACAGGCTGTGGCGTGGGAGGGCAAGCCGCCTTTAAGGGCGCAAGAAGGCGGCTTTCAGAGCAGAGAGCTGAGCGGAGGTGACGTGCACAGGGCTGGGCCAGCCCTGCTGGCAGAACGAGCTGATGGATACTTGGCGCAGCGTCCCAAAGCGGCATTTCTGTTTGGCTCTGTTCGCCTGCAGAGCAAACACTGGCAGATTGGAATTCCCACTTGGGCTCTCACCAACTCAAACAGGCTTGGCCAAGACCTTCGATTGATTTGTCTGAGGCAGAAGTGGCTCTGCTTGCCCATGCCTGGCTGCGGAAAGCAGGGCCCTCCTCACCCCAGCCCTGGGATCCTGCAGGGCTGTCCCCGAATGGCTCGTTCATCCCCAGCCTGCCAGCCTCGTGTTCGGGGGCCACGGTGGGATGCAGGGGACTGGGCCCAAGTCTTCTCCTGGTCATGCCCTGGCCCTTCCCAGATCTTCTGGAATCCAAGGCTGGAGCTGTGTGGAAGGTGCCTGGATTTTTTAACTGCTTGTCCGTCCACCAGGAGGAAGTAGTCCCTATATTGTGGAGGTCCAGGCAGTGACTGAGAATTAAGCTCTCCCGTTTATGCCAACAGCCCCTAGAATCTGATACTGAGCGCTGAAACTGTGCACCTTGACGTTGCCTTCCAACGTGGGGCAGACTGACCTCCAGCAGGTCAGGTTTTGCTGGGGGCGTCGCCACCTGTTCCAGGCTTGGACCCTGAGTGGGCCTGCTCCGTGGTCCTGCAGGCTCTCAGGAGAGAAGCTGGCTCTGAATTCCTAACTCGGCCACTCCGAAAGGAGGGCGCTTGTTCTGATCCTAGTCCTAGGGGTCGGAAAGTGCGGGCAGGAGAGAAACGGCGTGAGATTTATCCACACACGAGCACCCCACTCTGCCCCACGCTCTGCTGCAGGGAATGTTGTCTGTGCTCGGTCAGCCACGTGCTGCCCCTCCCCAAATTCTGTCTTCGATTTTATCTCGGGCTCTGCGCGGTGCGGCGCTGGGAGAATGGTGGCGAGCGGGAAGGGAAGAGGAGTTTGCTGCTTTCCTGGCCAGCTCCTGGGCTCTCCCCTGTGACGAGAATCAGCGTCACGGGCAAAGCAGGGAGAAAGTTGTTAATGAAAGACCAGGCTGCTTGTCGCATTGAGTCTACAGAACAAGGAGCCGGGACAAGGGAGGGAAGAAGGAAGTACAAGCTGAGGGAGTCTGGGACTTTGGGACAGTGGCTCTGGCCGCGGGCGCGTCAGCCCTGGAGAGGGGAGGAAGGGGAGTTTCAAGTGTCCTTGTGGGTTAAGATGGGATCCCCACTGGTGTTCTCTGAGAGAGACAAATAGTGATCGGAATCATCTGAAAAGCACTCTTTCTTGCTGTACTGTACTTTTTAAAAATGGAACTCCATCAATAGATGAGACCATGTGGAGTCTGGGCTGTGTTCAGGTTATCCAGAAGGTCACCCTGTGTCACAGAGACCTCTCAGGCTCAAACTGGGAAATGTTAAGAGGGCTTTTCATGGTCTGAGCCCTTAGCTGGGATCGGACGCCTCTATGTGGAGTATACCTGGGAGTGGTGGCACCAGGTGTGACTGGTTTCTTGCAAAATGAAACTGAAGTCTCAAAAGGGAAATGTAGAAGGAGCCAGAGGGGGATGAAGAGTCTATTCCAAAACTCTTGGGAAACTGGGGACAGACCACCACCTGTGTGAACTGCGATGAGACAGTGGTAGCCTCACAGCAGAGGTGCCCCCCGCCCCGCAGTCCAGCACTCCGAGAGGACCACTGTCCCCTGACTCCCCCCTGACACTGACGCTTGAGATCAGGGCCTGGGATAAAGAGTTCTTCAAAAGTTGACGCTGGGCCAGAGAAGGGGCTTCCAGACAGAGGTCAGGCCAGGGTTTCAAAGGTACAGCTCGTTCTCTTTATTGACCATGGCTATACTGCTTTTTGTTTCGCTGGCTTTTCTGTTTATGACATACTTTCACATGTATAATTTCAATCACAAAACAACACTTGGGTATTTTCATTACTCCCATTAAATAGGTGGCAAAACTGAGGTTCAAAGGGGTGATGAAACCTGCCCAAGGTTGTACGACTAAGGGGGAAGAACCAGAATTCACAGCCAAGTGTGCCTGGCCTTCTAACCACTCTGTGTACTGCCATGCAGCAGTCTCCCGAGGAACTGTCACTGTCTCGTGGCTGGGCCAGCCAGTACGCAGACACTCACTTGGCCAAGGTCATCCATCACTAACGGGCAGAGTCAGTGTTTGAATGCAGGCCACACACATACTCCTCTGCGCCTCTGCCTCGTAGCAACCTTGTTCTTTCTTATTACAGCTATTTCTTGAGTTTCAAAAACCAAGCCATGGTTCTCTTTTGAGCAGGGCCTGACTCTGGGAGGAGGGAGAGTGGTTACCGAGATGAGCTTATACTGGCTGGTTCCCTGGCATCTTCTCACCACTTGGTTGAGGCTCTGAAGTCTGCTGGCCCTGGGAGCCTCGGGAGCCCCGAGATTGAGAGCGGGGCAGGAAGCAATCAGTGTGTGCAGAAAGGGCGGTGACTGTGCCACCTAATCAGGAAATTGTAGCCTGGGCAGAGAGAAGGGTTTGGCTTAGGTGTCGCCTTTCCCTGGGCTTCAGCGCAGCAGGCCCCACGGAGGCTTGGCTGCAAACGGGCTGTGCTGAGCAGGCGTGCGCGGGGCTCAGCAGGCAGGATGCACCGGCCCTGTCAGTGCACGCAGGGCCGTCCCCATGGCCGGAGGCTCGCCCTTGGGTGGTGACACGTAGGAAGTTCTTTCTGGCCCTCTGCCTGCTCCTGCATCCACTGATAAATCGCAGCAGGGGT